TTTTTACATTATTCAAGCGAAAATCCCCCAATGGCTATCGATGCGGTCCTGCTGTTATTTGACTTCGGGGCTTCCCCAAAATTCCGTGTGCCAACAAGTGTCCGCTGCGATGTTTGGGCAGCTGTGTGAAATTTAATTAGATTTACGGCGGCTTTTTCCATTAAGCACTGCTTGTGCTCAGTCACCCACGGCGTATACGCAATGTCCACGCACTTAAACACACAGGAAGCAATCACCTGTGCTGACCAACAAAGAGCACATTGTCCCTGCCTTTTGTGCCATGATTTTTGGGCACTTTGTATGCCAGCCGACATGTGTCAGGTGGTCTTAGTTACACCTTGGCTTTTGGCTCTTCTCAAAAAAAAAGCAAAAAAAGGAAAAATGAAAGCTCTGAAATGGCAGCACGTCCTGTGCGCCGTATGACGTGTGGCAATCACAAGGCAGCTCAATAAAGGACGAATCGAATTTTTAGTCCGCCTCAGCCGAGTTCTGACTATCAAAAGGCACCAGTTTTGAGTGATATGCCAGCTTCCCGGGGCCTACAGTTTTACCGTCTACTCAATTTCCCCCCCTTTGCCAGGCAGTTTTGATTAACTGTCAGGGTGGCTAAGGGAAAATTATGGGTTTCGCTCATGTCGGGAAAACAAACAAAAATATTTTCACAGTAGACCCTCTGCCAATAGGAACCGCAGTGTTGTAACTGGATATGTGTTCTCTGTGGTTAGCTTAACAAACACGCTTCTCATACTTGGGATTTTGGGAATGATTCGAATATTTGGTTACCTATAAATATACAACATTTGAGAGGTTGCTTAAAAACAGTATTTTATTTAACTGTTTTAATAATTACTTTATCCTATTTTTTTTGGCACTAAAAATATCATTTATTTTCTTACTCAAAACCGGAAATCTATTTTTTTTGGATATCAGCTCGTATTTACAACATTATTCAAAAACGACGAATTAAAAAGACTTTGTTAATGTTTATCTTATATTTTAACCGCATTTGGGAACGGAAAATATATATCCGATCTTAATACAAATCTTTAACAGATTTTTCATTCTGTAAACTTTATTCTGTAAAGTAAAAAGGCACCGAAACAAATATGCCCCAATTAATATTTTTGTGGAATGCCTAGGAAAACAAAGGCATTCCTCCTGCACCGGGGGAAACGAAGAAGCGGGCAGAAAAGGCCGTTAAGGAAATTGCAAAGTTAATAAAAGAGTAGTCGACGAGGCTTTGCGGTTGGCATTTAGCTTTAAACGCGTCATTAACTGCTTAAATAGCAACATGTGCGCTGCTTGTGAGATGGTGTGATGGTGTGCAATGGGTGTGTGCGGGGCGCTGAGTGTGTTCATTATCACCTGTCCGTCCGGGACGCACACAGACAAAGCGAATATGATACCCGGGAGGGAAGTGAAGGACCTTTTCCATTCCCCGCAGGATGCTGATATCGCACAACGTATTTCTAAGTGCTTCATCTTGTCTGAATAACATTCGGGGCAGGACTTGGGCAGGATGAGAGGCATTTACCTCATTTCCATTCCCCCAGCTTCAGCTCCAGCTCCACCCCCAGCTTCCACCTCTCCACTTCCATCGCCCAGATCCACCTCCATTTCCCATTTCCCTCACCAGAAATGAGCTGGCGCATTTATGGCTGCCATTTTCGGGACGAGCAACTGGCATTTAGTGCCCCGCCAGAATTCCTGCCTTCATACGTATTTAATGAACTTTGTATTCTTGTTTCAAGCTCGCCTAAATAGCTCTTGTTGGCTTCGGGTTACCTTGCCCATCTGCCATCTGCCATCCCCGGAGCTTATTTATGATTGCCCCTGCAAGAGTAGAATGCATATTTACGAGGATGCCTATTTCGGGCCGGGTTTCCTTTGCATTTCAGAGCGTTTTCTGGCATTTTATTGATCCAACTTCCTGAGTTATGAATTTACCTCAGCCTCCGTGAACCTGCCAACAATAAACTTAAAAACTCATTTTGCATGATAAATGCATAAATTACGTTTTCGCCATTCCTTACTTTGATAGCTGTAGATTATGTTTCACATACCTTCTGGTTTTTGAAAAGTCTGCGCTCATCAAAAAACTAAACTGAAAAGCCATAAAATGTTGCCACAAATTAGTTGGTAAAGTGAAGTGCGTTTGCTAAAAGTTAACTCGTTAGCTAGTTGGCTAATTAGTTTTTCAGACAGTGTATAGCATTTCATATGGTCATCATGGTGATAAAAATGACGTATGCTTTCCCATAATAAAGGCTTTTTTTGTGTATACAAGCAAAAAAAAGAAGCAAACTTCGGGTATAAAAATAGTGTGAAATTTGTTTTTAAAATGCACTTTGCATGAAAAAATCACGCAATAAATTCGTATCTCCAATTTGCTAAACCTGTGCAGGCTTAAATGTCCTATATTATACCGAAATCCATTAAGCTGTCGAGAAACAATTAGAATAAATCCCTATTATGTTTTGCCAGAAATTGCTAGGATACCTACATAACATAGCAGAGCGAAGCTTATTGAAATTTATTATGAAATAATAATACTAAACAAATACGCTCGGTATGCACAAAAAAAGAACTTGGGTTTATTGACTGATAAAAGTTTGTCCATCAGCTGTCAGTGAATTGTGTCGCCTGCTGGCGATTTACTTTGAAATCCGAAAACAATGAACTCTCGCTGATTTCATGATGAATTGGCAAAATATTTGCCTTCGAGTGTTGCCACACATAATTAGAATATATTTTTTAATGATTTCTCAGCTGTCAGGTTCGCGTCAAGGCCTTATCGATTTGGCACTACGAAGAACTCGTCGAGTGTTTTACCTTCGAGCTGGTATCCGTTTCCTAGGAACGGTGCGAAAACATTTTCCGCCACTCTGCACTCTGGTTGACAACTTTTCATGTTTTCAATTGAATTGCCTCCATTTCGGTTCTTATCGGCTCAAATTCAACTTTTCATAGCTGTGCGAGTTTTTCCAAAAAATTTTTACTGTGCCACTTTGCGGGGTATGTAGTTATAAGTATTTTTTTTTTCCTTTTTCGGTTGCTACTCTTGTTACGGTCGTTAGCCCTCGGGGGGGCGGGGCTTTGGTCGGGGGGCGTGGCACTCGAGCTTAGCCTGCTCAAGAACGATTTGCAAAGAAACATTTCAAAATGTCAGGCGCAGCTACGAAATGAATGCCAAGCGAAATGGCAAGAGCAAAAGTTAAATTTTTTGCACCAGGCCAGCTCAAATTTCTTAGCCCAGTTTCTTGGCCGAAAGTCGACTTTTCTGCCATTACCCGTCAGGGCCAACAACAAACGGCAGTGATTGATTGACTAATGCCTCAATTTGCCTGTCTCCCCGCTGTTTACATTCGGAATCTATTCTGCTGTTTACGCGCAAGCCAAACATTTATTTTTTAATGCGCAAACCATGGAAAATGGATTAATTTTATTTGGAATTCTGTTTGATTTATTTGATTTATTGTTGCAGAAGAGAACATAAAGGCCATTTTCGTAAACCGATTTTGAAGGCTGAGATCAATTTAAATCGATTTAATAAACAAAAACTTTTTATGTTTAATGTACACCTTTTGTTTGTCTTTTTGGTGTTTTGCGTAGTTGGTGGAGCGGAAATGGCGTCAATCAATTCAGCTCACCCCTTTTTAAATCCAAAGCTGCGCAACTCAAGCGTTTTTAAAGCTTAATGAGCCGTGACTATAACCTCTTTTCCCTCTAAAAAGTAAGAAAACAAACAATAAAATGCATAAGGAAAATTACTCAAAATGTCAGTCGAGTCATTTAAAGGGCAACATCACCCTCAACCCCTCTCATCCCGCTTTCAGCACTGGGCTGCTGTAAGAAAACTAACAAAGTGCTCTAATCGAGCCAAGGGGCAATTGCTGTGCTGCTCCAGCTGCACTTTCCTCCTCCATATTCCTGCTTCCAAACACACTTCCTAGGTAGAAGGATGGCATACTGGAAAAAATATATGGAAATTGCTATTAGCTGAGTTACATACTTCGTAACTATCATTTCTTAAGTAATTTAAAGGTTTAAATATTCACAGGCATATGGTAAATTTATTTAATACCCAAGCTATGTTCTTGGCATCAAGAAATATTTATTTATCAATAAGACATTTTCATTAAGTGCTGTTCGAGTTTTATATGCTTCAGGTTTTGTCACTTTATAATTATACAAAAGTATAAACTCACATACAAAAATTTTTAAAATTCCTGACCTCATCATTATTGTCAAGTCATTACAAAACAATATTAATTAATTTTACATGAACTGCGAGCAAGCAATGTGCAATACAAAGTCTCAAATTCTTATCAGTTTTGTGAAGAGGGATTCCCGATTTTAAGTGTTGATTTTATTTGCTCAAAAGCAAAAGTAGATTTGAATAATTTTGAATTATAATATAATTTTTAAATAGTTTTCTCTATTCAATTTAACATTCTCTAAATAAACAGTTACTCCCCAAATAGCCATAAATTTCACTATATTTAAAGTCCAAAAATATATAGAAATATATATTAACAATTACTTTCAACCTATATATGTATAGTTTTTTCTGTGCACTTCCTAGAAGCTAGAGGCTGGGGCGTGGGTGGCACTGGGAAGTGGGCGTGGCTCGTGTTGACGCATGTTGACTATGCCTTTGAATGGCTGCCGTGGTTGTTGGTGTGTAATTTGCAATGCAGAAAAACCAACCAGGCGCTGAATCCGAGTGTTTCCAGGGGACGAGGAGGCACGACGAGGCAGCATAAATATTCAGCGAGAAACGTCATATTTACATTTAGTCTAGGCTGCTAATCCGGCACCGTGGGATGCCCCGCTGGGGTGGGTTCCCCTGGCCACAATCGGTTATCTGCCCCCGGCTGACACTTGGCCGTCATTCATTCGGCTGCTTATCAGCGGCAGCCCAAATAAAAAGTCCCCAATCTGCCCGACTCGTTTGTCTGGGACTGGGACTATAAAAGCTTCGCTGGCACACAGTGCCAAGCATCAATCAATTCCCGTCACCGAGCTAAGATGCAACTCAATCTTGGAGCGCTTTTTCTGGCCCTGCTGGGAGTTATGGCCGCGGCACCAACTGTCCTGTCAGAACCTCATCGTCACCAGGGACCCATTTTCGACACGAGGCCGTCGCCCTTCAATCCCAACCAGCCAAGACCGGGTCCTGTTTATTGAGGAGTCCTGCTGATGTCGTTAACACATTGAGCAAACTAATACAATTAAAGCTTAACTGAACATCAAAGCCTGACACTGTGTAATTTAATTAATTGTACGCTGATGGGGCAAAGCGCACAGGTGACTGGAGGGCAATCAGCAATCGGCTTTTAAGGAATAGAAATTGTGGGGGTAAATGAAAGGGGGGAGTGAACTTAAATAGTTCTTCTCTTCGATTGCTTTGCATTTAAGACTCCTTCGATGGCTCATGAATACTAATTCGAAGCTATGAATTGCAAAACATTTGAATGCAATTTAATTTGCATTTGGCATCTGTTCGGCTCTAGGGGCGTATGAGTAATCACAGTTGCCATCGATTGCCATTCTCTGTATACTACACGCGTATACACTCGTATGTATATTTAGATGCGAATAAAAATTGAGTACGCGCAAACATTTCAATGAGCTTCACACACAAAAACGACAATTTCTTCCTCACCCTCTGCTTTTCTATTTTCAGCTGCGATCGAAGGAAAGCGCTAAGAAAAACACTTGCAAAAATTAGCAGCAGCAGCTGATGGAAAGAAGTGGCGGTGGCGTTCGGTGCGGGAGGCCATTGATCTATAAATAGTGTTTTGAACACTTTGTGCGCGTGACAGCTGTGACAGCGGTGGCGGCCATGACGTCATTGGCTGGATAGGCCACGTCACGGATGCGGTATAAACTGGTCTGGCCGGGGCGAATAAAAAGCATATCGCACATACGCCGCATTGACCCAAGGCAATTAAAAGCGCTCAAGTGTTTTGGCGGAGCGCGCCATGGCATCGATATGATCATATCAACAGCAACAACATGCGTAGCAGCAGCAACAATAGAACCAGGAGCAACATCTGCAGCAGCAACAACCATTGTACAACTAGCAGCAACACCGTCGACAGCAGCAACATCGGTAGAGCAGCCATGAGAATCGCGAGAAAGCACAGCAAGAAGAAAGAGCGGCGGAACACAAACAAAAATTGTCAAAATATTTCAATGCTTACAGCTGCTCGAGCCTCAGTCTAAATTCGTCGTCGATCGGTCGTAGTTCCTGTTGTTGTTATTATTATTTGTTGTGTGTGTTGTGTGCCAGCGACATAAGAATAAAAATTGCAAAAAATTAAGGAAGTGCAACTGAAAACGACTCGAAACGAGCCCTAAGCCCAAGCAACGAAACGAAACTTAACCAAAAAACTTAACCAACAAGCTAAACAAACCAAAACCAAAAGTCACCCAGACACACCACATTCATGTGCCACATATGCAAACCCAGTGAATCGGACAAACAACAGTGCGTGTGTTGTGTAAACAAACAAATATTTGTGCTACATTTAAATTAATGCGAAATACTGAAATGTCAACCCAACGACTCGATAATAATTCGACATCGCTGCAGATTCTCTGAACGGTGAGTTAGATTTCTTGTTAATGAATAATGTATAATATCACATTATAGGGCAGCTTTTTAAGGGTTCGATTTGTTGGTTCAATGGTATTGTTTATTTGCTTGGATTTCCTATTTAATTAAATTGGATCTAATTAAATTTATTATTTGAATATAGGTCGCAGAGCCATTAGTTTCGTTTTTCCATTTTAATTATTTAATATTAGATTTTGAGTTTAATATTCGGTTACCAGCCTGTTGGGTAGATTTTCCACCAGCGATATGGACAGTTCCTGTTTAATTATCCTAATGTATATTCCAACCCCGAAACTCACTCAGGGCCCGAAAATGTCGAATTTGGCAGTGTGTCAGTGTGTGCATGTCAGACGGAATTTCAATTCGAGTGGGGACCCATAGCCATCCCAAAAACCCAACCCTCAGCGCCCGGTTTTGCTGCTCGGGTAACTCTGCATGGAGCCCACGTTGCGAATACGCAATTTGTGTTGAAGCTTCTCCGTGTTTCGCCTGCCTTCTCGAACGCTTTTCTCATAAATTGAGTTTACTCTTTTCGACAGCTTTGTTTGCCTTGCTTTCGAAGCGAACGCCCCCATCTGCTTCGCCTAATTTCCTTTTGCATAAGTATCACATGTCTATGCTACCTGTATCATTGTGTTTTTTTTATACTTTTTGCCTCAGCCTCTGATGCTTCTGCTCATTTCAATGTGCATGGGAATTATGGCGAATTATGGGCCACACAAATCAGCACAAAACTTTATTGTTGGCCATGTACTCTCAGCAGGAGTACAAAAACGCTGGCTGAAATGAGATTGATTGAGCTATTAGATGAGGGATTTTCTTCTTGATTGGCAGTGAAATTAAAGAGAGCTAGTTTCTTGGCTTAATGGTAAATTACAAGGATTGCCTCGTTTTCATGATTTTTGTACTAATTTGTTGAATATGTGTTTTCATTTTGCTTAAATTTTATTTTGCTTTTTTTCTGTTTTTAGGGGTCTACATTCAGTGCAACTGATTGATTTATTAATTTTTACATGAGCCTCGGAAGCTCTTAATAAAGTTCCCTTGACCTTTGGTTAAAATTTCTTGCCTTTTGTTTTTGTAAAACGTTTTAAAGAATTTTTGTTATTTGCATTCTCACAGCAAGCCAAATAACTATGCATGCCGTCTCACTGTATTTTGTTTATTTAAATGTTTTTCAATTGAAGGATTAAAATTTTATTCAAGAGGTTTTATGTGGAGGTGAAATGCAATGACAAATATTGTCAATATTCGTATGTTTCTGCACTTAAACAATTTTAGGTATTTACATGCTAATAAATCTAACTAAGACTTTATTAAACATTTTGATTGGTATTTAAGCTTAACGGACATAATAAATGAAGATGAATTCTTTAGGTGCCGGATTAAAAGTATTAAACGAAGCTTTATGTTTTTCAAGAAAACCGCATAAAAGTGACAAGACAAAAGTTTACTTATATGAATTTAAATTTAATTAAGAATGTAGAAAGAAAATGAACCTCCTTAGTTTGAGGTGGAATTTAAAGGCAGGGTCAAAGGCACACAACCAAGTTCCCTTGATCTTAGCATGTTTTCCTATTTTCGTAGCAAGTCGCAAAGAATTTGGTTAATTTGTATTCTCATAGCAAGCAGCGAATACCTCAGCGTGCAGACCCACTATAATACATTTGTTTATATGCTTTTAAATATAAATATGTGCCCCGTCTTCTGGGCTCACTGCCATGTAATTATGTATGTCTCTGGCCGAGAGCAAGTGCATCATCGCATGGCATCGCATGGGCGCCTTCACATTGCTCCTCTTCGCTGCTTTTCATTTCTGTTTCTTTACCTTTTTTTTTGGTTTTTTTTTTCGTATTCTGGCCCGCCTTGACAATGCACTTGAGTCAAGTTTGCTTCCTCTAGTTGGCCGGCTTTTCCTGGGCATTCTTGGTATCTCGGCAACACGGCATCTCGGTATCTCAGTGCTTCTTGCCAATATGCAGCTAGCCAAAACGAGGGGTTTGCCTGCCTGTTTATTTATAACATTTTGTTTGCTGCTGCTGGCTTCCTCGTTCTGATAAGCGAACTGGCATTGCTCTTCGGGCTTCATTGTTTTCTGCAGTTAATTAATTTTAATATAAGTAGTTGCCATTTGCCCTTTCATGGCTCAAAAAGCTGAGCAGCAGTAACAACAATGCTGTTTGTGCATTTTCGCCAAATTGCTTTTGGTTGGATTTTTCCCTGTTGGAAAAAGGCTTTTAAAATGCCATTCGCTGTCAGGAAGGGGAAAATTCCTGGGTCTCCCGGCTTTTATAACTTTAAGCCGGAGACTGCAAAAACTTTCCCTTTGGCCGCCCCACCCACTTTCACTTACCCTCACCCAGTTTGATTGATCAATGTTGACAGATTTAACGAGCTGGTAAAGTGCAGCAAAACAATTCAATTATGTGTGTGTGTGTGCGGGAGAAAGTGGGGGCGGATGAAAAGGAAATATTTGCGTACCCCGTCGGATAGTGTCATCGGCAGCAGTTCCTCCTCCTTGTTCGCGTCCCACCCCCTCGCTTTTCAACCTTCGAACCCCCCCCTGCCTTGCCATTAAATATGGGGAATTATTCATGGGCCCGCCCCTATCTGGCAGCTAATAAATAATTCACATTGAATTAAATTGCGTGATTTCTTTTCGGCTCGCCTTGCCACAAGAGCTGTAGCCCCCCATTTATGAAATGCAATTTCTGTCTTGGCTTTGCTTTTCCTCATGCTCGTTCGTGTTTCACCCCCCTCCCCCCCTCCCCCTCTGCGCCCTCGAACACCCCGTCATCATCTCGCATTCTTCTTGTAAGTTTTCTTTTCGGGTTTTCCTCATTTTCACATACGCACACGCAAGGTCGAAACGCGCGCGATATATGAATTTAATCTCTACCGATTTCCCGTGCCGCTGTGCGCGTAATGCGATTTTAATGCCGGCCAAGGACCCGCCTTCTCGCATTTTGTTTGTGCATATTTATTGGGTCAGTATCCATTATATATCAATTATGTAAATGGTAAATTTATAAATTTAAATTTATTCAGCGAATCGGGAAGCCTTAGAAGGGTAATCGTTGGAGGATTTAAAATTAAAATAGGCTTACTTCTCTTAAAATGTAACTAGGTTACTTGCGCCATATTTTCGTTTACATTTTCTTTATTTAAAAATTTTAATTTTCTATTTTTCTAACAATATATTCAGTAATACACTATGGAAGTGAATAGTATTCGGTTTCGTTATATTTGGCATTAAAACCATTTGCTTTTACATTAAGGGTTTATTATATTTATCTTCGCATTGCCAAGATGCCTTAACTTAATTAATAAGAGCACTTAATCTTTGTTTTGTTTTAATTTGACTACTTCAAATTTACCTTAATTTGGCTGTTGGTGAGCTATTCATACCATCTGTGGTCTATAATTTGAAAGCCCATCAACTTTGTCTGGCAGGACAAGACAATGGCAAGCTATAATCACTCATCCGTTTAATTCTGATCCGATAATTAAAGCGGCGTGTAACCATCGGTTATCATGAATATTTAATGCAAATTTAATTGATAGGGGCCCATCGATTGGCCAATAAAATGGCATAATAATAAGCCTTGCATGTGGCGAGACTGAAATTCACCTGCCACCCAACCCACGAGTGGTTTCAGCACGCACATTCTTGGTGGGTGGAACGGGTGGATCGGCCAACTTTGAGCTCAGGCTGTCATTGGCAATTCCTGTTAATTTGTGTTAGAGAAACCACCCCGTTTAATAGTAAACAATGGGTGGACTAGGACCTTGGGTAAAGGAACAGAACTAGAGATCAAGAAAGGGGAAATTAAAGACAAAAGCTTCTGAAATGGATCCTTAAATATGATTCACAATTTATAAACAGTTTTTACCACACATTTTTCAATTGCAAACCAAATCTCTCTTCAACCTGAATAAACTGTTCATAAATCACCTTTTATAAACAGTTTATAAAATATTTTATTATGGTAATGTTCAAACTATAAGCTAAATAGAAATACCGATGAATAATGCTCACATGAATAATCTATTAACGGGTGTTTTATTTACCATAAAGACTGGGGGAAGAAACAAAAGTTTGTTTACCCTTTTTCTTGTAGCATTTGTACAGTTGGCACTCTGACAATTAGGCACCTGGCCTCTGAGTTGTTTGGGCCCTGGCCTTGGCCATGCAAACCTGGCCAGAAATTTGCTCTCTGTCAAACTTTGTTTACTAACTTTCGGTGGGGTGAAGGCGAAAGTTTGACCTAAATCCTGACCCTGGAGCAGTAACTTCTGGTCTTCCAGAGAAACGAGAAACAATTTAATGAGCAAAAAGACTCGCATGAATGAGTGACCAGCACAAAGAAATGTTTTTAATGAGGATGGCGTGAGTTCTGTTGCGTTTTTTTTCTTTTTGTTGTATGTGGGCAAACTTTTGCTTTGTGTTCTAAAATTTAACCTCCAGTAATTGCAACTAATTAATCTTGCTCTTGTTTTGTTTTGTGTTCTCATTTCAGCATCGTCTTCAAGCATCGACAACATGCAGCGATCCAAATGACAGCACGTCCCCGAGAAATAAACTAAACTTGAACTCACTTTGTGATATACCCGAGTAGCAGAAAGTACGTTAAGTCCTTAGTCATAAACGAACCTAGATACGCTCTCTATTGTTTTGGTAACTTAAAGCACTTTAGTTAGACAACCCACAAAAGACAGACAGCTGACAGCACTGCTAACAGAGGACCCCAAAAAAGACAGCACCCAACGTAACCGAGACCCACCGAAAAACCCAGATTTAGTGACCCCAATCAACCCACTCCCCCAACAAAGCCATCAGCTGAGATCCACTTAGCGCCGTGTGCCACCATGCCACATGGGGACCGTGAGGAATGTACGTAATATATCCCGCCGATGAGCTCATCTTGATGACCTATGGTTTCTTTGCGCCACGTGTGAAACCGCGACCCTCACTCGACTGCCTGCCCGAGCCGCTCGTGCCCATCGAGATTCCAGCCAGATCCGCCAAGCCCGCTAACCCAGTGGTGACCAGCGCCACCAAGGCTCCAAGTAGCCCCACCGCCGTCGTCCACTTCGAGACCACTCCGCCCATTGCCATCCAGCAGCCAGCAACTGCGCCGGCAGCACTAGCCTCTTTCTATCCAGGATCACCGCCATCCTCGCCACCGTTCGCCTATCCAGGCTCACCCACCCAGGAGTACTCCGACTTCTTCAGCTTCGAGGAGCCGCCACCGGTGCCGCTGGTGCAAAGCCAATCCCAGAGCCTGCCGCCCACGCCCACCCGCCGCACTTCGCGCGCCTCGCTGACCCACTCCAACAACTCCAATCTCTCGCATCAGGGCTCCACCAAGCGGAGCAGCCTACGGAGGAGCCACCAGCGTCCGCCTGCTGCGTCCATGTATAATGATTATAATGATGCCAGCCAGTTGCCGGGGGGGAGCAGTGCCACTGGACCAGGACGAGCACCATTCCAGCGCAGCAGCGCAGCCTACGAACAGGATTCGGGAGTAGCAGCAGCAGGAGGAGCACTGGAATATGGAGATCTCCGATCGCGCAGCCCAAGTATCTTCTTGGAACCGCCCACGCCGGATCCCACGCATGCCCACTTCGGACCGGGATGGGGTCGACCCATGTCGCCCATGGATCTGCCGCCGGAGAGATCGTCGGCCAGTGCCTCCGGCAGCAAGTCACCCACCGGCAAGTCCCGATTGCGACCCAAACTCCATCTGCCGCTGGGCAGATTGGGCAGATCCAGCTCCTCGGACACGAGGGAGAGCAACAGACTGCGCGAGGATGTCCATGTGCATGTGGAGAATCCGGTCTTCAGCAGCGAGAACCTGCGCCACAACAACTTCGATGCATTCTTCGAGGCCCGCGAGCCGGTCATCAAGGTGCAGCCGCGAACGCCCCACACGGCGCCCGTGGATGGCAGTGGGCGTGGCTACTCGCCGCCCCTGGAGAACTATGCAGGCGTCTACGACTCGCCGCGGACGAGGAGTCCGGCGGGCAAGGGCGGCGGCAGCGGGGGCGGTCTCTTCGCCCGCTCGCCTCGCGAGGATCGTGAGCGGATGGCCGGCGCAAGGTCGCGCAGTGCGGATCAGTGCGACGGGGCGGTGGCTGGTGGAGCAGGTGGAGCGGCGGGAGGAGCACCTAGTGGAGCGGGCGCCAGGGGATCCAACTCGGCGGGCGGCGGCGGCGGAGGGGCCAGCTCGGCCGGAGCGCACTCCAAAGGTGACAGGTGCCTTCCAAGTCTTCTTCCGCACCTGCTAATCGAATCGTTCACAGTTCTTTGCCGCGCGTCTCGTAGAGCAACCTTGAGTTGGTCGCCATAACATGCAACATGCAGACTTGTTTCGGGTTTTCATTATCAATGAGTTTTACGGAGTTCGATTTGATGGCGGTATAACCACAGAAAGGTGCAAATGCATCATCCAGAATAGTACTCATAAAAACCTTAAAGCAAATCGAACTTTATACAAATCTTTGAAAGTGAAATCCAAAACATTTCTGTTAGTTAAAAGCAACGTTTCATCTGCAAGTTTGAGCTGCAGTTCTGAGTTCTGTTAAAGTTTGATATTGCCTTAAAACTTTGCATTTATACTGAGTATCCTTGGATAGTAATGAGTTATTCATTAGTGTTGAGGTGGAGTAAAATAATTGTTTACTTATGTCCGATTACAATTTCATACTTTATTGAAATCGTTTATTTACGACCCGTTTACTTAGCTTTATAATGTTTGTATGGTTTATAAAACTAATCTTACTTAAAAAAAAATTTTTTTAAACGATGCAATTTTTTCAAAATTATTAGTTTGCCTGAAGTAAAATAGCCTGAAGTAAATAGAAAATTACGAGACAGAAAGAAAACTTTTTTCTTGTATTTTTCAAAACTATTAGAAATCGCCAACTTAATCCTAGCTAAATTATTTGGTTACATCAGTTTTAAAAGGAATTAATATTTTCTTGTTCTGGGGTTTATTATTGGGCCCTTGTTTTACTCCCAATTAGTCTGTGAGTACGGTAATCAAGTTATTTCGTACTTAAATTCCAACCATTTCCTCTGTGATTTCTATTTTATATTCCTGCTCTAGAGCCTTTCAATTAGCTGTGTTAGGACCACGTTCAATTACCGACTCCCACATAATGAAGGCAGAGTCCTCACAATGGACTCTCAGATTTTCCACTCGTGGCTTTTCCAAGGATACCCAACCTTTGGCTCTGCCAGAGAGTTCGCTTTCCCATTCCAATTCCTTACGCGCTTGGTTAACTTTCGGTACTAAACACACACAAAGGCGAAAGGCGAACTTAAAGTGCTTAGGATGCTTGACTTTCCGCCCGCCCATTTGCCATCTGCATATCCATCGCGCCACCTTTTCACTTGATCCGGGTCCACAGCTGCTTCTCGCATGCATAATTGGATTACCTGTGCCCCTGTAGATGTGGATGTGGATGTGGATGCCACTGTGAGTGCAACTGCTACTGCAACTGCATTGCGTGCCCCGGGCGCATTCCACGAATCCGAGCACGCACATAATTCCTTGAAAAACTAGAACTAGAAGTGGAAGGAGCCCGGGGAACTGGAGGAAGTGGAGGAGCAGCACATCCTGCTGCGACTGGCGTCCCGAAATGAATGCCAGCTTAGCAGGGCGTGAAGTGTAATCAACAACAGCGATAACGACATCCTTGCAGCTGGCACGTGAGCATGAAACGCCCGTGATCCTGCGAAAGCCACCAAAACACCAGCCACCCACTCGAATTCATTTAAAAGTTCACAGCGCGGCAAATTTGATGACCAGCGGCAAAGTAAATCAAGAGCTACGTGATCGTTGGCAATCTCGGACACGCCTTGTTTATTCCGCTTCAAATTGGACGTAGCTAAAAAGGATGCGACGGCTGACCATTTCCTGCAGCCGACTTGTGTCCTTTAATAATTTCTATATAGCACACTTTCGTGGGCGATGCGCTGCAGCTCCTACATATTTCATTTGGCCAACCCGTCGGACAGTAATTGAGCCTCGTGTGAGTGTGTGCAAACAAACACGGCCAAGTCAAGCCCACAGACAGACACTTTGGACACTTGGACAGCCTGGACGATGTGGATGGGGGCAGTCCTCGTCCCGAAGTCCCGAGTCCGGATGAAACAATCACAAGACATGCCAAACGAACGGGCCCTCGAGTCTTTTTAGCTGCCAGTGTGTGTGCTCAAACGAAATCTCGACTCTCGCCGCGGCAATGAAATTACGCTTTATTTATTGATTGAATTTTAAATGAAGGGACACCCATCTGCCCCGACTTTGACTTTGGCCTCCAACTGCAGGCCGAAAGAACCAAAGACCAGCAAGTCAGACATAGGAACCCTAATACAGTTGCGCTTGAAGTTATAGCACTGAAACTGAAAATCTTTTATATTTAATAATGCAATAATTATAGTTGATCTTTTGGAGCTAAAAAGTATAACAAAGAATTGCCTTAAGTAATCTCTATCCATTAAATTTAAGCCACTGGTACCGTAGTTTCCCATTCTTTTATTATCAAGTTCTAAATTCTTGCCCATAAAATATTTTTTTATTTAAATAAAGAATGTTAAAAAGCTTTTAGAATCATTGCCTCATATTACATTTTTTTAGGGAGCACAAGTGAATCTTTTACGGCTTTAACAGTCAATAAATTATTTTTTTATTAATATCATGAACCTTGTATTATTGGTAAATATAAAAATTGAGCATGTTAACGTTCAGAAAGTGGTTTAAAATAAATGTAGTAGATTTAAAAGATGGTTAACAAAATATTTAATATTTTCGCAGTATAACAAAACTAATTTTCCACGAAAATGAGTTTTTCAACTGCAAATACTAAACGAAACGTATAAATACAAAAGCCAAAGCTAAGTATGATTGTAATGCCATTATTTTGGCCGCTTCTGTTTAGGTCCGCTTGTTGACTTTGGTAATGGTGCTCGGGTTTAGGCGGTGTCTTGGACTGAAATACTCGAATTTCCGCCTTGGCCCGAAACGAAAATAGAAGCAAAAGGAAAAATAGAGGCGGAATGGAGTGCTGCCTCCACTCATTATTTATGCATAAATACAAAAGGCAGCGATCTGTTTGATTGGCCAAGAGGTTTTTCGGCGGCGGAGAAGTGACTTGTGTATTTATCGCGGCGTGGCCAAAATAATTCCTGACATTGCCTGACGGATACTTTACTTTTACATCTACCCAAATCAAATCAAATCACATTTCGTTTGAAAATTCTCATTTGGTTGCTTTCATTTCGGTTTGTTTTGTTTGGAATTTACGTTGCGTTCTGTTTGTTTTCTCTCTCTTTAATTGTTTGGTTTTACGAGTTGATTAATTTTTGGTTTTGAGTAAAAAATTAATAACGATTTGTTAGAGCCAAGTGAATAATAACGAAATTGTCGGCCCATTGACAGGTTCTTCGGTAAAATCTTCAAGTGGTCGAAGAAGTCGTAGGAGGATCTTCGGGTGGAGGGGACCACGCGGTGGTTCCCTTGGCCCAAAAGGCGGCAGGATGGCGTCCTACAACGGCGTGCTCAAGGATTACAGTCACAGCAGTTTGAACGAGGCTTTCAAATCCCAGAACAATGTCAACTTTAAGTTAATTAAAACAGGTGAGCAGAACAGAACCCAGTGTCAAAGCCAATCTATTTGGCGTATGTAAGTCGGATCCAATTCATATTGCCGCCACACGGGACTACACATGTCGTGTGCCAGCTTTTAACACCTGACACGCTCGCCAGGTGGGCCAAAAAAAAAAAAGCAAAAGCAGAGGCTATAGGTTTCCACCTGAGTGGGATAACAAAAAGCAATTTATGTGCCAGCATTTTATTTGATAAGTTTCTGTTGTCACTTTTATGGCTTATTGATTTCGATTGTCAATTGTCTTTGTCAGGCCATCAGATTGAGACATAAATCTGTTCCGGGCATGGCCCATTCAACCACTAAAGCCTCGTAAATTCTCTATCCCAGCGCCGAGTATGTTTACCCACGAACAATCTCCGGCACAGCTGCAACTTTTCGACATAACTTTGACTTTGAATTACAGCGTTGTCACTGAAAGTTGTCCCAGCGAACGGCACCTTTGGCACTTGCATTCGGCAGAGTTTGTACATACTACTCATAGTTCGTAGCATCAAAACTTTTTAATAACATTTTCGCTGTGAACGGCATGTGAAATCAGCAAAGCAAAGATAAAGTATTGATTAAATTAAAGTTGCGCAGAGCTACATGGACAAACTTTAGAGTTTCAACACACTTGACAACCTGTTGCCGGAACACTGTAAACGCGTATCTGGCTGGCCATAAAACGTTTGGGCCATAAACTTACAGGTTAAGAGACTGAAAGCCAAGTGAAAGCTAAACAGCCATATTCATATATGCTGGAATAATCGTAAATGTGATGGATTATCCAACAGGCGTTCTCTCCTTTTTAAAGAGGATGGCTTTTCGCTTTTTACGGAGCATAAGATTGAAGTATTTTGACAAACAATACAAAGTGGCAGAAATGTGAATGTCTTTTTCATACTCTGGAAGTGAAATTAAAACTTACACTTCTAAAAAAAGTGGCTAATTCATTTAGGGACGATTTCTTAAAGTCATGTTAGGACTTATGTTTGTATTACAAGCTTTGTGACCTTTAAACACAGACAAGTTGTTGTTAATTATTTGAAAGACATCTTTACAAGGTCTGTTTAGACACAAGTCGTTAAGAATTTCGGAGAGAAAAGTTTAACAACACATTTGAACAGATACTTTTTAACTAGAACACAAACTTTAACCAATTATTGATAATGTTTTCGTAACAGCAATTCAACTTAATGTCAAAACTTAACATTATTTAATAAATTGGACCTTAATCATGAGTAAATATTAATAATATTCATGTTTTTCAATTTCTGAGTGTAGCCTTGAGTGCTGAGATAAAGAGGAAAGAGCACAAAGGCTGCAGCCGGAAGTGCCCATCTCTCCCCTGTGTGCATATCCGTTTCCGGCGCTTTTATTATTGTGTCTCCTGCAGTTTTGTGGCTCGTCATAAAGCGTGACTGCCTCCTAGTTCTATTTAGCTATAGTGCTCATACAATTTAATTCAATTGCAGTATCCGATTTCTCCGAAACACTCTCCCGTCTGTACGAGGAACACGCAACTGCCCTCCAAGTTGCGGTGTCCAATTATCGCAAGAAGAATGCCGAATTACGAAAAGAAAGGTGAGTGCCCCAAACGATTTTCCAGCCAAATTGATACCAACGAAAACCGAGTGGCGTGCAGACCCGCCTGCCACTTGGCCATCTTTCAGGCATGGGAAACATTCCTGCAGGAGGTCGAAACCGATTCACAGGCCTGCAACGATGTGGCCAGCGTCCTTTCCCGCCAGGTTAGTCCTTAAACTACCCTTTTCATCGCCGAAAAGTTGCCGAAAGGCAAATGGGTTAATGGCAATATCGTGTCGCGTTAATTATTCAGTTGCCCTCACTGGAAATAGGATCGAACGACTCGGCAATGCAGTTGCTATAGAGGATTGTTAATTAAAATATTTTTGGAAACCAAACACAATGCTTTATTGATTTGTATTTTGTCTGCATGCCCTTAGAAACAAACGCCAGATTTCTATTAATAATATATGTATATGATAATTTTATTAGTACCAGTTACCGCATCGATCGGCTGGGTAATCCACATGTGAATGTGGCCTTGAGGCCGCAGAAAAAAAAAATATTCCCAATTTGCATTATAAAAAGCAGACTTTAATTATGGTTAATTAGTGGGGGGCGTGGGCCGCTGCGGGGCCCTGGGAAATGACATGTGTTTTTCGAGTGCCGAATAATGTTGTTGCGCTGCCGTGTTTGCTTTGTTTTGTTTGGCTTACACATTTAATTTTCATTTTTCACGATGATTTGCCCTTTTTTAACCCGCGCGTTGGCAGAAGCCAGCAAAAAGTATATGGCATACATAATTTATTTAACCCCCAACCTTCAGGTGTCGCGACCAATGCTGGATAAATCCTTTCATCGCAAAGTTCAAAGCCGTAAAATATTCACACACAGGGAGTCTTTCGAGACTATTATCGCAAAGACTGAAGAGAAGCTGTCAAAGGTGAGTTTAATTAGCAGAGAGTCTTGATTAAGGCCATTGAAATCCCAAAAGTAATCTAAGCGAAGAGGGCTTTAAAGTTAGTTAAAGTTCTGAATCGCGCCAACAGTGCGTATGCGTATTGGGCCCGTACTTAAACGGAAAGCCCTGCTGGGGCACAATAAGCATACGCACTGTTGGCCCGATCCAAATTGCCCGTCCATTGTGCGTGTGCCCATTCACCCTTTTCTGTGATTACCCATAAATTGGCCACCCCAAAACCCAAACTCAAACCGAAACCAACCCATTTTGAAACCCCCGCAGTGCCGAGTGGACTACAAGCAGTGCCACCTGGCCCACCGACAGAATCCCAGCCAGCACTCGCTCACCGAATACATCGACGCCCACAACGCGTACGTGCAGCAGCTGCATGCCACCAATGGCATGCTGGAGGCCTACCACTCGGACACCCTGCCCCAGCAGATGCAGGAGCTGGAGGAGATCCACAACGACCTGGTCGCCATTGTGTCCGACTCGCTGATGCAGGGCGCCGAAGTAATTGCCGGCAAGGTGAGTGCCCCGCCAGGCGGTGATTTATCACTGCAGCAGGTGGTTGTGCCCTGGTGTCACCATATTTCTGTGCCACATCCACCACCACACATCCACTGGCACCTGGAATTCGAGTTAATTTTTGCAACGCCCTTTGTTTCCTGAAAAATAATTTGTACACGATTATAATAATTGCCCGGTGTAGCAATTTGCCGTGGTAATTTGCCTAATGCGTGGGCAGGCCCTGGCTAATGATGGCCACACTTTTTGCCTAGCTGGTGGTTTGTGGTAAATGCAAAAATATTATGCCTTCATATAGATAGGTAAAAGGTCCTGGTAATAGCTTTGTAGTATACACAACACCAAATAATGGTTTAAGTACTGCATATTAAAGTAAAGTAAGGTCTTATAAGGGTACAAAGTAGACGGGCTCTGATTTTATTGTAGATTCAAGTAAATAAAATAAATGAAATGGTAAATAACAAAGAAATCTTATACATATATCAAAAAAGGGTCTTAGGCTTATAGAATGCAATACTTACTTGTAAATCTTTGTAATAGAAAGAGATAGGCCATCAAGTAACTAATTTTTTTTAGGGAAAGGCTAAACATATTCAAAATTGATATCGAGATTTATCTTCTTAATGATTCTACATAAGTCTTTTTTAAGTGGAGACCATATTAACTGTTGCTAAGAGATGTCAAGATAATGTCTGAAACAAACTTATGTGGATAGCAAATAATATGATTTTCCTACATCTCCTAGGCCAATGACCAATCCAAGCGGTACAACAGCCTGACCAACCAGTGCAGTGCGGTGTCACCTCAACAGGATCTGGTGAACTTCGTCCGCCTGCTGGCCCAGCCGTCGCAGGCCCAGAAGATTCCCCGACGGGTCTTTGCGACGCCCCAAGTGGAGGCTGGCGAGGAGGCGGGTGACCACAATGTGAGTAGCCAGTGAAACACCTATCCGGCGGGTTTAAGTGAATGTCCTTGTGGGCATCTGTATGTGTCCTTTGCAGGAGATGACGCCCTGCCTGCGGAATGAGCTGGTCTTCGACCGACACTCCACGTTGTCGCAACGCTCCGCGCTGGAGTCGCTGAAGCGAGAGGCCATCGAATTGGAATTGCAAATACGTCAGCTGCAGGTGAGATGAATTGACCAAACAGAGAAAGAAATACACGATATGGTATTAAATATATATCTCAGGTGTTCAATGTCGAAATACTGTTGAGATATTTCCAATGATTTTATACAGAAAGAAGAAACTTTTTATATTCCCAATTTATTTCCCAAAACAAAAATCGGAGTATTAATAAATAAAACATAAATGATATTTTTTAAAGAGACCCTTAAAAAAATACTTTGCTGCCTATAGTTCCTCGCTCTCTGAGGAGAGCACTTCAATGTCTGAGTTACAATCACAATATTTTTCTTGAATCTTGGAAATTAATGAACCAACCACCATCGCGAAATAGGTTTCAATTGCTAAAAACAGTCATATTTAATTTAATATTTCAAATGATTTGTAGCACTTACTTATTGAGGGTAATGTTAGCAAGAACTGCTTTACACAAATATTGCGCAAAGTATAATCTATATTCGTCATAAGAGTAGTGAAGAGCGAAATGTAAATCCAAAGATATAGGCAAACGTAGATCCTCTGTTTTAATAAGTAAATATTTGTTAGTTAAGAAGATGTAGTTGTAGTACCTGGTATTTGCTCACCCATTTACTTCCTATGAAGAGGATCATCGAATTGAGTACAGTAACCAAAGCGAGGCCCATGCGAAAATGGTGGTTTGTGTGATAAAGAAACAACCTTTTGATAATGCCATCTCTGTCGATTCTTGTGACCCAAAAGGGATCTGGAAACATTGCACTTGGAATTGACTGGTTGACCAGATGATAAAAACTGCAGATCTGAGTCACGCTCATAATGGCCTCAAAAGTGGCTATAAGACTACAGCCTTTCTTCAAGTTAAAGAAATAAAAGCATCTCTTTAGTCTGGGAATATTTTGAAATGTTCGCCGAATGGTCTGCCAAGAAGAACGAGCACAAATTTGGGCATTGACGAGTATATTCTCAGCAGAAGACATCTTTAAACGATTAACGACAAAGAAATAAATATGCTCAAGAAAAATACTAGTGAAAGTTTCCAACTAGCCTACTACTTACAGAAATGTTAAGTTCTTATGTCACTTATTTAAATTCGTGGGTAAAAAAAATACATTTTGAATGCAATTGCTAAAGATTTATTTTCGACAATAACTGGGTGTGATTTTTTATGAAATGAAATATAATTGGCTGACTACAGCTCTTCGCTGTCTGATAAGAGCACTTCGACATCACTAGGAGCACTACGATCAGTGGATTTTTCCTGGAACTTACAAATTAATGAAACAACCACCATTATGAAATAGGTTTCAAGTGCTGGAAAACATCACCTTAGATTACAATCGAATTTAATAACATTCGGTGTACTTACTTATCGATGATAATGATATTAAGAATTGCGTCAAACCTATGTAGCGTAAAATATAGCTAACATTTGTCATGAGAGCTGTGAAGACTGAAATGTAGATCCATAGGAAGAGGAAAACTTGGTGACCCTTGTGGAATACAATAGCAAAATTTAGATAGTTTATCTTTTTCCTAAACACTTTGAGAATTCTCACCCATTTGCTTCCTATGAAGAGCAGCATAGAATTAAGAACTGTAACCCAACCGAGTCCCATGCGAAAGTTGTGATTTGTGCGATGTAGAAAGAACCTTCGGATTATGCCATCTCTATCAAGTTTGGTGACCCACAGCGGATCCGAAAACGTTGCACTTTGACTTGCCTGGTTGACTAGATAATATATACTGCAGATCTGGACCACGCTCGCCAAGGCCTCAAAAATGGCTATGAACTTGCAGCCTTTTTCCAAATTAAAGAAATAAAAGCAGCTGTTCAGTCTGGGGATAAACTTCGATTTGCGCATGATGTTCTGCCAGCGGAATCTTGGCCAATTTTGGGAATGGACTAGTGCATTCTGAACAGATGACATTTTCAATAATTAACGATTGACTGTGAAAGATACATATACTTATTATCTGGAAAAAATACGGATGAAAGTTTTCAACTAGCTTACTTTTAACTGGGGCATGAATTCCTATTTAAGTCACTCAGATTCGTGTGTATATTAAAAGAATAATAAAATTGAATAAAATTCAATGTTAATCAATTTAATTTAATTTTTCTATTTTAACAATTTTTCATCTTATTTCATTTTAATAAAACATTTTAAAGGACAATGAAATATTTAAGACTAAGAAAATTACACATTAAAAGCATCCATTAGTTTCAAAATATAGAGCGATATACAGAATGTTTTTGATTTTTTCCGAGTTCCATTTTAAGTATATCCCTAATTGTTTCCCCGCAGGACTCCATTGAGGCACTGAATCGGACGCAGACCCGCGGAATCGAGGGTCAGTTGTACAACAAGGTCAACGAGCTGCAGGAGGATTTGTCCATGAAGAAGTTCGACCTGCGGGCCAAGCAGATCCATTTGGCGGCCATAAGGGCTCAGGTGAGTTTGTTTGGCGAGGTGAAAAGCTCGCAAGTTTAGCGGGAAATGAAACCAAGGGAAAAGCTGGGAAAACCCTGTAAAGTAACCAAATGAAAATTAAGTTTTGGCCATGGGAAAGCTTTCACTCAGCTTTCCACGGACCTGTTGCTGGCAGCTTTTCTGGGGGCGCTTTTCATGGCCGAGATCTAATGAGTTCCATTAGGCGGGGTCGGGACCCCCGACACGCCCCCCGTTTGCACGCTCGAAAGTACAGATGAACTGGCGTTCGTATGTAGGTCAAACAGCTGATTGCCGACTGCGCATGTGACCCAAGCGTTTCTCCGTCTCTCTCGCTCTTTGTTGGCCGTGGAAAGCCGCCAGCAGCCAGCAGCCAACTGTGGGTTAGGTTCGTCCTTCGTCCTTCGCCTTTCGCTTAGTCCTGCGGTAGATTAGCTTGTGCGTGGTCAGTGCGGCAATATGGCTTGATTTTCTCCAGCGTGCTTTCCCAGTTGCGTGTTTTTCGGGGCTGCTCTACTGAAATTTCCCTCAGTGTGTGTTATTTACTCTGTGATTTACTTTGTTTTTCTGTGCGTAACAAACAATTACTACTGCCCAAAAAAACTCGCTTTCTTTTGACTGTAACCTCAACCTCGGAGGCTCCAAAGTGAATCAGCTGTTGGCCGAGCAGGGCTCGGAAAAGCGGAAAAGCCAACTGAGAGGAAGAGAGAGAGAGCGAGAGAGTGTGGAAATTGCATGCGGAGCGTTGCCAGACAGTTGCCCTTAGCCCGATGTCGCTGTTTATAAAAGCAGCGTGCAACGGTCGCTCCAAGTCAGTCACGTGCTTGCATCCCGACGTATACGTAACGCGGCTCGCCAGCTCCGCTCTTGAATGATCCGCTCGACAAATTAGCCGTAGCCGTATCCGTAGCCGTAGTGCCGTAGCCGTAGTTCCGTAGCCGCATCCGTATCCGTAGCCGTATCCGTAAGCGCGTCGTCGTCATCGTCGCAGTCGTTCTTCGTCGCGTCTGAGGTGTGATTGGCTGCCAATCGCGCTTAACTGGAGCTGGGCTACCTGAATAAAAACTACGCAAAACGAAACACAAACCTTCAAAAAACAAATAATTTAAATATATATATATTCCCAAAAAACAGACACCACTCATATATATATTCATATATATATATATATAGCCTCCTAATATGTATGCATAATTTTAGAGCGCAGTTCAGGGCAGGCTTTTCTAGGCGAGTTGTTCTCTATTTTGATAGCAAACACAAGATAAATTGAATTGAGTTCAGCGCGTAAGTAACCAAACGATGATCAAAATAGTAATGCAACCAACTAGTCGACAGTCTATGTAAAATAATATAGCTTTATTTATCAATCACGCATACGCACCGTGCGCCCAACGAATTCGAATCCAAAATATTAAACAAAATATACAATAAATACGATGAATCAATGTAGCACTGCCAGAATTTCTAAGAATCTTTTGCTTGCCTTTCTACCAACATTCTAGCCAAGTAGTCGAAATTCGTGGGCCAAGCGCCAAATTCACCCATCAGAAGCTAGAGCAAAAAAACACAACTCAAGAATTAAATAATCTAGCTAACCAACTCTCGTATGTACTGTAAATAACCAATACTCTTTGCTAATCTAGATGTAGTTTAACTTATCTTTACTTATCAGTAATTGCAACATCAACTATGTAAAAATCTATCTAGAGCTAGAGGCTCGGCTCGCTTTGCATTTTGTAATTTCGTGACCTTTGTGCCTGCACCGCACCACCCGAATGTGGGTGCAGTCGCAATCGCACCCGTACACGTACTTGTAACCAACCACGAACCACGAACCACGAACCACTTACCACCCAACAACCACCCACTACACACACTCCGCATCCGTATCCGCATCTGAATCTAAATCTGAATATACGCCATCGATGTCGCGAGGAGTGGAAATCCGTTTGTGAACGGCCAACTCTTGAGAAAAATAAGAATAAGACTAAGACAAACTCGGCGACACCTTTAAAATTGTTTTATAAAAAAGAAAGAAACAAAAACACATTGCGTAAATAGCAGTAGCCGAAAGCCACACGCACACGTACACCCACCCCTTACAAATATATTTAAATAAATATATATACTATATATATATATATATACATCTGCCCATCATGCGCGTTATCGTTCTCAAAAAGAATCGGCCTAACAAACGCGGCACGCCCACGGCCACGGCAGCGGCCACCTCCTCGCGAGAACCGCCCAAAAAATCGCCGTACGCAAAAGTAAGAATTTAAACTCGATACTACCAATATTTGGTTTCAATTTTCGCCGATGAAATACTCGTTATCGCGATAACGAGCGTTTCAGCCTTTGTTTCCTGTTCAATTTGCCAGTGCAATCAATTTTTGAGATACACCACAATATATACTCGTATGTTTTGTGTACATTTGCCAGAATTTCCCATGCAAATGTGCAAGTTTTCGCGCCGCGCGTTTATATTTCATGATTTCGAATGCAAATGCAATTACTTAGCCGTAAATATCAGCATGTTTAAGTAGCAATCTGTGCATATCCTAGCTCAAAAATTGGTTGTAGTGGCCAGGCATGCAATAACTATTTACCTAACAAAATATTCATTTTAATTACATGCGATAGAAATAACCATATGTTTTGCCTACGCTAAAAGCAAACTAGATTGCGAGCCTGTAAACTAATATACTTATGGCCTTGTTCTAGAATTATACATTTTGCAAACATTTTCGAGTGTAATGCGTATTTTATTCTGTATCATTACGAGTACTTGCTTTTAAAAATAAGAAATGCAACCACTTCTAAAGTAATAATTTAGGTATGACCTTGATATATTTAAAATATAAATATGGGGTACAATTAAATTATCTTGTATACAATTAAGCTTCCTCGCTTTGTGTGTAGAGCACTTCCGTTTCCTGCACATTACGGCGAAGTTTTTCCTGCAATTTTAAAACTAACGAGGCTACAACTGCGCAGAAATAGATTTCCAGAACTGTAGGTGGTGCAAATTAGAAAATAATCAGATTTCTTTTTGGATTACTTACAAAATGAAAAAGTACGAATGAATATTTGCTGCAGGGATGTTTCTTGCATAATATCAATAAATGTGCTAATCATCATGGTTATAACCGCAATGCAAATCCACAGAACTAGACAAGATATGTGACCCTGAAAAGAATTCGATATAGTTTGAATATTATTTTCCAAATGCTAAGGGTATGGTTCAAATGGTTTAAAATAATTAAAAATTTAAAAATGTTGGTCTTATTTTAATTTTTTTATTAATACATATTTTAAACAGTATGTTAAGCTTATATACTTGTTTTTAAATTTTAAAAACAATTGTGCTGAAGACCCCAAGAAAATAGTCACCCATTTGTTTTTTTATACAACTTTGGATAGATTCTGATATAAAGGTGGCAATTGAAAAAGACTATATATCCGAATGTATTGATGAGACCAGTTTAAAATTATTCTTGCCTAATTTATGTACCTCCTTAAGAAAACTTACCCATTCCGCACCTACAATGAGCAGTAAGGACCTGAGCATAGTCAAGGTGTGCAGGGCCTTACTGAAATAGAGATTAGTTTCAAAAATCGGCATCTTCGTATTCGGACCGAGCATATCCCCATCGGGTTCCCTTGTGACCATTAGCGAATCTATGGACTCCGTTGTGGTCATCCATACTGCCATTTGCATTTTCATTTCTAATTTGTAGATACTGCACATTTGCAGGATATTAACCAAAGCTTCAAATACGGCTATCAACTTGCAGCCCGTTTTCAAGCCAAAGAAATAAAAGCAGCTGGTCAGACCCTTCATTTCGTGGAGATTTCGATTAAGTTGAGTCCAGCCATTTGGCGATTCTAGCAAATTTCGAATATACGACATTCTCGAGCGATTTCTATAGATTACTAGAATAAATGCCGATGAACGTTCGGCTGCCAGCCTACTAATGAACTTTTCATCGACAGCCTCTGATTGAGTTTTGGGCTTTGGGCTTACTTCCGATTGGCCATTCGGAGTTAAGTGCACAAGAAAATCCAATTTGATTTATACGCTGCGCCAAGGAGAGCCCGAAAATGGAAGAAAATCTAAAACAATTCAATTTTCCAAGTGTGGCTGCCAGAAACAAAAAAAAAAATCGTTTCCGTCCTGTTCCGCCATGAAAGCAACCTCCCCCCGCCTCCCCCGCTGCTACTTGTTCAACTTGTTCCGCCCGATTCGATGGCACAATCAGTTGCCCATAAGCGAAATTCCTTTACTGATTTCCTTTTAAAAGCATTTTTCGAATTGTCTTGACTGCGAAGGAGCCACTTGAGTCTGCCCTTCGGCTTTTTTCGCTCATTTCACATTTATTCGACTTCCTTTTCGGCCCTGTTTCAAAAGCCTAGGGCCAAGTCGTGTTTCCCATTTATTTATTATTGTTTGGCGTGCTTCTGCTGCTGCTGCACTGACAACTTAAAAAAATGCTGGATATCCCTTAACTGTTGCCAGCCAATATGCTGAAATTTATTCATTTCGATTGAAAGTCGAAACTCATTCAATTAATTAATCGCATGAAATGGAATTATTCCTTTTTTGTTGCCAATTTAAAATGCACAAATGGACCACCTGCAAAGGCGATTAATTTCGCAGGACTTGAGAAGATCTGCTGTTCTCGTTTTGGGCTTTTAGTCCCCAGGATTTATGTCGTGTCGCCGAGCGCGCGCGCTTCCAAAACTGAAGGTCAAAAGCTGTGCTCCTAAAGGGTTAATTTTAAATTTATGGCTGTGCCCTTCTTACTTATTCCTGGCGAATGCGAATCCTTGCCCAGGGACCTAGGCCAAATCCGTAGGCCAAGTCCGTAGGCCAATCGTGAGTGGAGGCAACAAATTTGCACGTTAACCGCAACCAAAGCAACAATGGCTCCCTCAATTTATTTAAGTGTGTGTGTGGGTGTGCTGTGTGTATGTATGGGTGGATGTGACGAGTGCGTGTGTGGGTGACACAGTGATATTTCTCTGGGTCCTGACACGTTATCTGGCCAACAACTCTCGTGTCGTGCCGGAAAGGACCGGCCCGTGTTGGTTCCTACTTTATTTTATTGCTTTAATAAATATGAAATGCGCTCACTTTTTTTCCGGGGCAGGCATTCCAAAAGGCATTCGGCATTCGGCATAGTTTTGCTTTTTCCGCGTCACTCCATCGCCCCTCGAGTGCCTCCAATTAGTTGCCCAAATTGGGTTCTTCTTTATGACAATCCTCTTAATCTTAATCACCCCCGACTTGATGGCCACAAGGAATTGATGCCTGCGCGCTCTGAATAGGAATATTTATACGCAAACGCCTGCATGTCTTTCCGGTCTATGGGTATGAAAGCATAATTTGCTCGGGCATAAATTTTAATTAATAATAAAAACGCTGGCATAAAAATGCCAACAGGTCCTGGCAGCGTTTTCTTTTTCTCAGCTCTCTCGCTGCTCAATCCCCTCCAGCCATCGCCTAGCCCACAACAACATCCAGGAATTCATATTCATGTTTAATAATAAATCACAAGATGCCGCTGTAGAGGAGTTGGAGCTGCCCGCGGGCAATTGCGGTTGCATCCTTGGAATCCGCACAGAAACACTGCGAAAGCCGCCGCGAGATGGGAAAGTCAAATGCCAAAGGAAGCCCCAGTAAAATGGCGCTGGCATAAAAGGATTTGCGGCTAAAGGCAAATTTAATTAAAGACATCAACGCCGCCTCACACACAATGGCGCCGAATCAGGAGCAAATCCTCAGCCTCAGCCCTTTTAATTGCCCACTACCTGTTCCTGTTCAGTTGAAAACCACCAGAAGGACGAACAATGAACAATGGGAATTCATTTGCGAGTTTTGGTATCAATTAACCGACCGCCCATTCATCATCAGTATCGTATCTAACGGATGTATGCTTCAACTAATTTAGTGAATGAACACGCGGCACAAATGTTCTGTTCTCTGCAGTTTTGCATTTTACGCTGAAGCTTTTCGTTGTTCCCTGATAAATATTTAAGTGGCAGGGTCACCACTACAGCTACTACATAAACAAACTAAAAGGATCTATGTGGTCAAGTAATCCGAATTTGATATACCCTAGACTCACTATCAAATTTACAATTTTTAAGAACTTGATACACGTTTGACTATTAAACAAGCAAATCGAATTATTTTATTGACAATTTTTCAAAGTACTTCATTTTTATATGTCAGCATGATTGTTTGTTTGTAAAGAATAAACATGTTTCAAAATTGTATATTCCGAACACAGCTAAATTCGATTACTTTGATAAGTCACAAAACGTTTCTTCTACAATATTACATTCCTCACATTTTCTGTACCCTGAAGTACTGGGTATAAACAGCTGTAGAAATAGATACATACATATACTAGGGGCCAAGTGGGAGTTTCCTTTGGGGTCGTTTGGCTGGCATAGACATACAAATAGACAGTTGGACAGACAGATTTTGGCTGTTTGGCGCTCTAGAGATTTCACATTTCGTTGACGCACGAATGGCACAGAAAACACTTTTCAGTTCCGATTCCTGGCACTCGCCACGGGTTTTCTGGGATATCTGCATGTGGGTGTGTGTGCATTCATTAAAATTTCATTTGAAAATCAGCAGAAATGCTGCTGTAATCTCTTCTAGTCATTTGTTTTGCCAGCCACGAGAACTTGCCATTGTATTCCCCTCGGTTCGCTGCTCCTTGGAAGGGAAACATTCAAACATTCGCCTGTCAGCAGGAGCCAAGTTGATGGAAATCTGTGAAATTGGTAGAAAAAGTGCAAGGACAAGCAAATCGTAAGTTGATATGCTTGTGTCTTGAATATTTTATTGCTGGAGAGATAAATCTGATCCAGTTCTGAATGGATGTGCCTAGCTTAGCAGTGAGCGCAAACTAAGTTTCACTTCGAGCACAAGCATTACTTGTAAATTAAATATTAGTAAGGACATGAGCTTACACCATAACGTGAGAAATTTGGTCAAGTTCGGACTGTTGTGCTTTTAAAGGCCCATTAATAATTTAGCTAGTAATTCTGATTTGATTGCTATTTTTAGTTAAAATGAACCATCGATTTTACAATTCAAACTTTAGGTAAAACCGAGAACGGAAGCTAACTTAGGCAAAATTAGACCCAGAGAGAAAGCAGAAACTTTATTGACAACATTAACTATCAATTCACATTACTTTTCAAAGATTTAATTTTTTGACCCATTTTTGCATTATTGATAAGGGGTTACCCATTTTTATTTTTTACAAAAATTTTTTTGCTGGATTTTTTAGCCATTCGATTAGAAATTTTGTAACGAATTCAACGAGGTATAACATTTAAACTTTCGACTATTATTTCCCATGGTTTTGATCAAAAAACTGAAATAAAAGTGGGTTTTTCCGGATCTCCGGATTTTGACATTTTTCATAAGGGGTAACATCATGAATATTGGCCAAAAATGGACAGATTTGAAATTTTTTAGCTGTGAATGCCACTCGATTGGGAATTTTATAACGAATTCAATGAGGTATGACATTCCAACATGTGACCATTATTTCCAAGGGTTTTAATCAAAAAACAGAAATAAAAGTGTGTTTTTTCAGACTTCCGGATTTTGGCATTTTTCATAAGGGGTTACATTGTCTTTTTTTGCGGAAATCGACCAAAATTAAAATTTTGAGCTGTGAATGCCACTAGATTGGAAATTTTATAACGAATTCAACGAGGTATAACATTCCAACATCTGATAATTATTTCCCAGGGTTTTGATAAAAAAAACCGAGAAAAACGTTGATTTTTCCGGATCTCCGGATTTCAGCATTTTTCATAAGGGGTTACATTGTCTTTTTTTGCGGAAAATCGACCAAAATTACAATTTTGAGCTGTGAATGCCACTAGATTGGAAATTTTATAACGAATTCAACGAGGTATAACATTCCAACATCTGACCATTATTTCCAAGGGTTTTGATCAAAAAACCCGAAAAAAGTGGGTTTTTCCGGATCTTTGTTCATTATTTTTTGCGAAAAATTTGCGTCGATTTTTTGGGATCTTATATTTTAAAATATGCTTTAAGCTCTTCAATTTGGGTAAAACCATCCCTTTTTGTAAGTCTTTAATCGGATTTTATTAAAATTAAACAAGATGCCGGCTTGTGTTCTCCCTATTAATTTAACTAGAAAATCGTTTGATCTTTCCTGCTGTCTTTGTAAATCGAATAACATTTTTATTTCTACCCTGACGGCTTCGGGGAAATTTACGATTGCGTCAAAAAGTATGCCATTGCTGGCCAAGCCAATAAAGTCCGTTCTTTATGGCGGACCGAAGTCGAAAGAAGGATTTGGTCGAAAGGCGGGAAGGACCTAATGGTTTTAAAATGCGCTCACCCACTAATGCGAACCCTTCAGATCCGTTTTCCCGCTTCTGCGAAACCGACGGCTGTTTATCTGACATTCATAGTTTATGTTCCATGTTCTGCTCACCTTTCTCAACAAGATAAACGCAGCAGAATTTCCCTGGAAAAATGGGACGAAAGAAAATGAGGGAAAATATGGCAGGTATAGAGGGAGCGAGGGCAGAAGAGCCAGCAATGATAAAACTAGTAAAGCATACAACATTGTTTGACTTTGTGGATTTGGTGAGGCATGGAGCAATTCCACTCGGTTTCGCCACCCACTTTCCGCCGAGCGCCTCAAAGCATTTTTGGCAGTTAACCCGTAAAGATGATAAATGCGAATGTCTTTGCCGTTTGAGTTTGAGTTGTTGCAGTGCCTACTCAACGAATTTATGGGCATGGGCACGGGCACCCGAATCAGCAAACAAAACGAGAAGGAAAACAATCAGAGAAAATGGAAAAAAGGCGAGGCCAAGCTGCTTGAGTTTTCTTCTCCTTGGGAGATTGACAGGCCAAGCAGGCCAGCTGGCCGAGTGCCATCGTTTCCATCTCCTCCACTGCATCCGCATCCTTCGGATCTCTCCACTTTCCAGGCAAACAGAAAGTCACATTAATCAACACTTAAACGTTTAATTGCCGAACATTAATCTTGAGGTTAAGCCGCCACCGTTTGGCCAACACCCCACCACCTCCCCCGCAACCCCAAACAACTGTCAATTTGGCCCGGCCCGGTGTATATGTGGGCGTGTTCTTGCGGCCTTTTTCCAACTGCCACGGCATTAATTGTGTCATTTGGCAATTAACTTTCCAGCACCGCAAACTGCGAGTGCGGGGTGACAAATTCGGGGCTCGCCGCTTGTAAATATTGATGAGCCGCGGCAAATCTGGCCCGAACCGAGCGAGCTGGCCAAACAGTTGATGGACCGTTGCCAAAATTATGTTCGAGCTTATGCCGCTGGCTTGCAGCTGTCGCAGTTTTGATTGAAATATGAGCGTGGAACTGCCAACGCGGTGACCTCAGTCACAGCCAGGGATTCTGGGGAGCAGGGGATTCTGGGGAGAGTTGGGGATTCTGGGAAGTCCTGGCTTTCACGACGAGTTAATTAATTTCCACGTTGACATTTCACTCTGCTGTATATTTAATGAGCGGGCTTCGGTTACGGCTGCGGTTTCACTCCCTGCCTTTCACTCTATTTATCTGAATCAACGTATATTTTCCGGCCTGGCAAACAAGTAAATGTTGTGGCGAAAGTTGATACTAAGATCTTAATAGGTGTCTAAATAAATGTCATTATTTTATTTAGAATGCGACTTGTTTATAAACCAATAAATTAATATTTAGAATAGTGGTGAATATAAAATTCATAACGAACATTTTAAGATACAACATATTTTCTCTACTCGAATAAAATTTGTATATTTATGTTTTGATTTTATGATATGATTTAAGTTCATTGGCCAAACAAATATATATCGAATGAAATTTGGTATCTTAATTGCAAAATTAAATCAAAATGAAAATTTTTAGAAACAAATTATTTCCTCAATTTGATAAAGATTTGTATATTTATGTTTTGATTTTATGTCATGATAGTTGGTAAAAACTACAACATATATTTATCAGTTAATGTTAAAAGAAAACATTTAGGAAATATAATCCAATCTAGGCTGAAATGAAAACTATTAAGAAAAAAACTTTAAATTCTTAATGTGATTTCAGTGCTGCCCTATTTTTTGAGTAATTTATGCTTAAAGTTTTCCCAGCCCCTTTTTAGTTCGCGTTGACAGTACTTATCCGCATCAACATATATTTTCCGGGCTGGCACAAAAAAAAAGCCGTGGCTAAAGTTGATCGTAAGAGCCAAATAGATGTCTAAATAAATTCCATAATTTCATTTGGTCGCTGCATATTCAATAAGCAAAACTTTGGCCGCAAGGAAAATAAAATAATAACGTTTACCAGCCGCATAATCTATAGCCATCTCTTTTTCCGTCTTGGCTTACACTACTATCTATCTCTTTCTGCTCTGCAAGTGCAAGTGTGCGAGTGTGTGAGTGTATTTGCCTTTACGAGTTGCATTTCGCCTTCAAAAGGAAAAGTTTTGCACTATTTGCTTGGCACTTGTCTTTTATTTTGCCTTACACTTATACGTCCCCTTCTGCTGCCTCCATTTTCTTGGTTTTTTTATTTTCCGCTTTTTCAATTTTTATTTATGCAAATAAGTTTCGCCTGGCATTGTTGCCCGCCGCTGCTTGTTATCGCATAAGGATGTTGTTACAAGTTTACTACTCATTCCCTCCTTCTGGCCCGCCTCTCTCGTTGTCTATATATCTTGTCTTTTTATTTTCCTTTGTATTTTGCCGTATTCTGCCGTATTTTCTTTTTGGCCCGGCCAGCATGTAGATGTTGGCTACGGCTGGCCGCCCACGACAAGTGTTACGAGTGTCAGTAAAATAGTTGAATAATGGCAAATGCCATCGCAAAGGCAATGGGCAATGGCAAAGGCACCAGAAGTGATACTGTCTGCTCTTCGTTGTCGAAAGTTTAATTATCACTGTGTTTTCCCTCTGTGTGCCATGTGAGTTTTAGTTTGCTGTTTGAATTTTAAACTTTTCCCTCCCCCGTTTTTCTGACTGGCAT